CTGTTCACCTTGGAGACCTGCTGCGGATATGGGTACGGTCCGGCACGAAAATCACACTCTCTCCCTCGGATTTTCAAGGGCCGACGGGAGCGCTCCGGACACCGCAAGAGCCGCGGTGCTTTACGGGTACAGCATCCCTATCTCCGGGCGAGCCGATTCCAGGGAGCCGATCCCTTACAAAGAAAAGACAACTCTTCCCGGGACTCCCGTCGACGTTTCCGAGTTCGGTTGCGTTACCGCACTTGACCCGAAGGTCGATCTCCGTGTCCGGGTTCGGGAATATTAACCCGATTCCCTTTCGGTCAGTAGCGGGACCTGCGGCTGTTGGACGGGTCCCGCTTTCAAACGGATTTCTCGAGTCTTACACTGCTAAATTAGGGACGGCTAGCGCAGATAGCCCTCGTGTAGCTTTGCGCGAAATTCAAAAACAAACAAACAAACAGAAGTATTTCGACGTAACTGTTTTCTACTAGATACTTAACCATGCTCCTGTCAAACAGGAGAGGATTTTCGTTACAATAAGTTAATGCCAAATATAATATTAAGTTCTGACGTTGAAATCTGAGGGAATGGCTTAGTTTAGATGTTGCGCAAGATGCTTGCGTAGAGAAATCTTACAGCGGAGGATTCTGTAAAGTAGCGCTCTACTGAATTAGGGAGGAGGAAAAGGTCAAATGCGCCTTTCCCTCCCAGGTCTACAAGATCTAAACTCCGATAAAGGTCATACAAACACTGAATTAGGGATATGCACTTGACCCTTTCAAGTGTACAAAAGCATAAGGCCCGATTCCGAAACGAACGAAAAAAACTGAAATTTTAGGGAGAAAGAGGTGAAATACCCTCGAAGATCTATAATAGTTATAGAAAGAGGTAAAATACCCTCCCAGATCTATAATAGTTATAAAAAGAGGTGAAATACCCTCGCCGATCTATAATAGTTATAGAAAGAGGTAAAATATCCTCCCAGATCTATAATAGTTATAGAAAGATGTGAAATACCCTCGCCGATCTATAATAGTTATAGCGCAGTTGCTAATGGTATTCAACGTTTTCTACATAGTCTACATAGCTTTAGCATTTTCTGGCTTGAAATAGTCGCATGCAATGGCTTCTGTAACATTTTATAATTGGAAGTCCGAACATACATATTTATGCTAACTTAAGTACAGCTCCCCATGCAGTGTTACAACAGAATCATGGTTTGTTGACTTTTCATATGCTGTTTATGGATTTTATGTGAACATCCATGCAATTGTTTCAGCTGTATTTCATGTAAAATTACTTCCAGATTTAATCTCATAGCACCTATTTTTTATATATTTTTTTTGGGGGGGGGGGCATGCTTCAGATTACCGTAGCTTTAGCATGCTTTGCTTTTTTTCGCACAATATGTGTTGGCTTTTGATCTCCAAAATAGACCCCCCCCCCTTTCAAACATACTGCGTACGGGCCTGAAGTATTAGTGAAAAATACTTTAGTAACTAAAGATATTTCAATACTATAACAGAGAAAAATAGCTTTTTAGCTATTTCAAATTCGTAATAGTGAAACATTGCTTCGTAAAGGGGAAAGTTGATTTACAACTTTTACGTAAGTTGACGTTATAGCGAAAAATATGAACGCAAATAGAAAAACATGCCAATAAAAGT